GCCCTAGTGTGTCTTCTTGAGAAAAAAGACAGTGTCTTATTTTCGGGGAAACACGGTAGTAACATTCATCAAATCCATCAGTGTAGACAGAACTCCACCCTCCCCAGGCTCCACACCCAAATCTGCAGGAATTTCCCATCCCACAGTTGGCAACACTACCTGTATGAGAAAGACTATAAAGTTGTAATTGATCCATATTTGGAATAAGCAAGGACCACAACCTGACCATCTCAGGTAAGGGCTCCATGAAGCTGGAGAGTCAAATTGCTTAACTGACCCACTCCTGCCATCTGGTGGTTCCACATGAGAACTCCAGCATATTTCTAGCTCTCCAAGGAAACCATCTATGTAATAATAACTTTTATCAGGACCAACAAAACAACACATAATTGTGGGTGAGCTTTTGAGTTCTCCAGAATGCTTCCTCAGGCTGGATGTACCTTGCTGAGGTACCTCCCCTCCACAAACCTCACCCTCCTCTGGTTGCACTCCCCAAATCTCCAGGATTTCCTAGCCCAAAGCTGGCAACCCACTGGTCCTGGGCTGGATTTTGAATTTTGCTGCCAACATGGCTGTCAACAACTTCTTTCTACTTCCTTGATCTCCAACCTTTTGTTATAAATTTCACAGCAGTGACGTATACTGCTGGCTGGAAACAGGAACCAAGGCTGCGCAAGGCTTCCGGGAAACTCTCATTTTATAAACTATGCATTGCTGATGTGCATGCTTGCAATGCTCCCAAGAAGACCTTTCCTGCCCTACTGTCTTTTTGTGCTCCATCCTCTGTTTGCCTTCCTTGCCAAAAAAAAAAAAAAAAAGGTCATTCGTTTAATATTCTGGACTTTTAAAATGACAGCATTTGTGTCTTTGTTTTTCTAAAATGAAGCTGGTCTGTTGAGGCCAAGACCATATCTGGAAGCGGAAACTGTACAAAACTTGGCAGCCCAGTCGCCACCATGTTATTGAGCCTGGGGTACCTGCGAGGAAGAAAAGACCGCCGAGTCGTATTCTAAGCTTCTGTTCTGCTGACAGTGGAATTGTCTGCTGACATAGGCTGAATCTGCATTTGTCTTTCCCACCTGTGTCCTAGCCTTTTGACTCCGTCTTCAAAAAAGCTGTCTACATTTGGTGTTGTTTTCACACCTCAAGGGTGCTAGCATACTTTTGCACGTCCACATATGTTTATCGTCCTTTTGGGCGGCTCCACTGTCATTGCACCTCCGCACTGCTTTAAAAGAATCTTCTCCAAACAACATTCAAACAAGCATAGAGAAAGACGGTGTCACAGCAGCATGAAACTAATTTAAAAATGCAAATGCAGATTCGACCATAGAGGTGGTCTCCAGGGACAGAAAGCTTCTGTCAGCAAAACAGAGTTGTAGGATACAGCCTTCCAGGGCTCTCCATCCCAGTGGGGAGAGGCGTTTTAACACAGAGCACTAACTCCAGACTGCAAATGCATGTACATTCGGCTACTGCAAAGAAAGCCAGCCAGACAGCAGACACGTGGGCACTTCTCAAGTGTTTATTATTACATTACTATTGGCTCCTGGCTCCACTGGCTTTTTCTGACCACGTGAGAAAGGTACACAATTGAATCGTTGCTACTGGAAAGTGTACCTGACCATGGGAGTCAACTCTCAGGAATGAGGCCTCTGATTAATATCTTTGCCTTTGGTCACAAACAAAAATCATTTTTAAAAACTTCATCTTGGTCAATTTATAAGAAAATATCGTTGTATCATAAGGTCAGGGGCCATTCTTGTAGTGCAGGGGTGGCCAAATTGCAGCTCGCGAGCTGCATGCGGCTCTTGGAGCCTTCTCCTGCGGCCTGCAAGGCTTGCCGCCCCCCATGCCCCCCCTTTAAAAGCAGAGGATTTTCCCACCCCCTTACTGAGAGCCAGGGCCTACTCGTTGGCAGCTAAGCCCCACATGCCGCCTCTTCTTGCCACTGCTGAGCCAGAAGGGTAAGTTTGGAGGTTTGGGGGTGCCCAGGCCACTCCGGGCTGGGTGTGGGTGGCAGGCACTTGTTTGCCCTAGAGTTAAGCATGCAAGGAAAGAGACAACGCTGACGGGAAGCTCTGTCTAACTTGGAAAGCTTGCCCGCTTTGACGTCACAACAGACCTCACTTTTCAATCTTCTTTTGGAAGCTTTTATTCCGAGCCTCCCTGGCCAATGGGCCGTTCCTTCAGGGCCAAGCCACAACGGATGTGTCTTTTCTCCCCCATTCCCCTCCCCTTTCTTCCCTCCGGAGGGGCAGGCGGCTTGTGCTGTGGGAAGGATCCTGCGAAGGCCGGCTCCTTTTTTCTCCTTTGAAGAGGGAGGCTGGCGCCTTGTTTCAGGCAGACGCAGCCCCCTCCCGCCCGCCTGTCCTCCTGGTCACATGTTTGGGTGGCTCTCAGGTCACCTTGTCAATCACAGCCGCAGGGTTACACTGCATTCTCACCACCACCCAACGGGTTGAAAAGTCATTACTTACTTACTCGGCCATTCAGGTTTGCGCTCAGGTGGCTGCTGGTGCTGCCGCCGGGGCTTTAGCTCTCTCGCGGCCATCACCTCCTCACTACTGCCCGTGGAGCATTAGCGCTCACCATGGCTGCGCCTCCTGCCTTCTCTGGCCGGCAGCGCCTGGTCCCGTCGGCGCTGCTCCTGCTGCGGGCCTTTGCCCTGCACACTAAGGCAGGCAGTGGGGTGGGAAGGAAGGTGCAGCCTTTAAAATGCTGCCTTTAAAATCCGGACTCCTCAGTTAGCTTTGCAAGGATTGACACATCATGTGGCAGCCACCAATGCCTCTCTGCCTCTGGGGGGAAAGGATGGAAGTCCAGGCAGGTGCTTTGGTGCTACGTCCACTGGAAAGAATGGGATGTATCAAAACCAGTCGTGCATTGGAAGATCCGTGTCTGGGACTCCCAGTGACTAAAAAAAAAAATCAGATTAAATATCGCAGGGAGCAGAAGACATGGACCTCCCAGCGCACACCTGGCTAGATGTCAGTCACTCTTCTCCCCCATCCCTCCGGTTATCCAGAACTAACAGGGAGAATGGAGTGGATGAACTGCTGAAGATGGCCAGCCCACCCCTTCCACTATTAAATTTCCCCAGAGATCAGAAGATCCTTCCTCTTAAGGATTTCACTCGTCTGTCCCCTTGCTGATGATAACCCCATTCAATCCTCCTTTACCTTAAGGCGCTGTGGCAAAGGGCATTAAAAATGCATTTTGAGCTTCTTCTTGGACTAGCGGGCCGTATGTATAAATAGTGTTAATACTAGGTCATCTTAAGGCAACCATTGTTGAATTTTTTAAAAGCTAATACGCAGCTTGAAAGCAAATTTGAATTTACAGTTTAGGAAAAGTATATCCCAGTTTGTCTGAAAACTGTCAGTTGGTGAGATTTTGAAAGGATACTGTTTGAGAAATCTAATGATCCAGATCCTAAATATAAGTAAGGACAATATGCATAAAGGAGTGGCCCAGGACATTATAGTCAGTATGGTATACTGAAGTCCCAGCGGGATCTGGAAGACCCAGGTTCACATTCCCACTCTGCCATGGAAGCTTGCTGGGCAACATTGGCCCTGACAGCATGATCTACCTCACAGGGTTGTTGTGTTTGAATATTTTCTTTCTTTCATGGCTTACCTCTCTGCATTTTAATTAAAGGTAAAGGTAAAGGTTCCCTTGCTCGAAAGCCAGTTGAATCCAACTCTAGGGTTGCGGTGCTCATCTCCGTTTCAAAGCCGAAGAGCCAGCGCTGTCCGAAGACGTTTCCGTGGTCATGTGGCCAGCATGACTAACCACCAAGGCGCACGGAACGTTGTTACCTTCCCACCAAAGTGGTACCTATTTATCTACCTGCAATTTCTTGCTTTCGAACTGCTAGGTTGGCAGGAGCTGGAACTAGAGATGGGAGCTCACTCCATCATGCGGCACCCGGGTCTCGAACTGCTGAACTACTGACCTTCCACAGCCTGCAGTTCAGCGTCTTAACTTGGTGTAATTATTGTTAAAATAACCAGGTCCCAAACTGCAGTTTGGGAGGCTTTTTGTGCTTATTCTGCAGCCTTCTGTAGAAATGGCTTCCTTCAAATATAAAACTAAATATTCACTGAAGAAAGCATAAAATGCCTCTCTGCAATCATGAAGGCTCAGCATAATGGCCATGATACAGCCAAAGTTGATCTCTCTAAGGAGCATGACTACCAATGGCATCAAACTTCCCCAGCAGAGTGTGTGGGAAGGTTAGTTGAGGGATGCCAGGCAATTATCACTGTCATAGATGTAATGGGAGTTAAAGGAGCCAGATAGACCAGCATTTTAAAAGCTTTATCTCAGAGCCAAATGCATTCAACCTGATAACAAAGGCTTGAGGAGCTGAGGTGACCCTGCTGAGATTTGATTCAGAGTTGTTGTTTTTTTTATAGACAGCCTCTCTTAGAACCCTAGAAGACTAGCCTTGAGTTTATAGCAGAAAAACACACCTTGGGCCTAAATGTGTGCAATAACAACTCAGTTAATACTGATCCAGATGAGTATGTACATCATTCAATGTCTCACTAGCTTGGTGCTGTGCACTGAACATGCGAACTGCCATTACTGTCGTGTGTTGTGTTTGTAATGAAATTGAACGTTGGTGGTTCAGTGGCCTCTCACCAGTGTTCCCTCTAAGCTGAATTAGTGTGAGCTAGTTTACAGTTTTTGAGCTGCCAGCTCACATTTTTGTCTTCGCTCAGGAAGGATGGCTCCGGAGCAAACTAATTTATGCCGTAGCCAAATTGCTCGCTCACAACTTTAATGCCAGTAGCTCACAAAGCAGAATTTTTGCTCAGAAGACTCCACAGCTTAGAGGGAGCATTGCCTCTCACACTTGAAAATCGTTTCGTTGAACTAAACACACACACCTGGCTACAGCTTCCTGCAGGCACGAGATTTCAGACCAGAAACAGCAGCAGCAGCAGCATCACCGATACTGACCAAGAAAGTACAGTTTATTTCAACAGACTTAGGCAACAAATACAAATGACCTTTTCTAAGCACGATGCATGATTGACAGTGTGTGTCTTAGATTTCAAAGGACCAGTTCTTGCAGAACTGAAATGAATCCCTTCACTGACCACCAACCCCCCTGAAGAAGCTGCATTTCTTCCCATCAGATATTTTAAGTGCAACTCCAGGAAACCCAGCACTCGCTCACTCACTCTCACATGCCAAGGAGGCCACAAGAGCCCCAGTGACTGCGCTACTTCCCCTGCTTTGAGGTGAGTTCCTGAGCTTTCCCTCGGTCAGCACTTTTTGGGACAAAAGCGATAGCATCCAAAACTTTCTGGCTTAACACATCTCAAGCATCAAGTTCCTAAATTCATTTTTTAAATCTGTCTTAGAAAACACTGATGTAGCCCTTGTAAACATGTGGTGACACAGAAAGCCACAGCTCTGCAGGGAAAAAGAAAACACGTGAAACAGAAGTGGCGACTCAGACAACGGACAGCGCGTGTAACTTTTTGCCAGGAAAAGCCCACTGGCCATTCAGCAGAAGCATGTCAACAATCTCTCGGGAGCACAGGGAGAGAACAACTCATGACAAGGAAGTGGAAAGGGACAAATCTCCCCCCAAGTGATGGGCAAGATTTTCTGAAACTGCCATCTTTGTGCATTTGAAGTTCTTAAGGCTCTGGCTGACCTCTTTCAGACTGTGATTGTGGTGCTCAGTGGTGGAGAAAAACAACCTGTTAGGAAGAAGGCTGGGCTGAACCCCTTGGTCAAAACATGCCAGTCAAGCTGCGAGCCTGAACTGCAGCTTGGAGGGGTCTGACTCCAGATACAGGCTTGCCACATCCTTTGCTGTCTGGGATAACTAGACTAGCTCTGCACACCCCACCTTTTCTCTATCAGCTCTGCAGCTGGTGCTACATAACATGTATCAGGTGGGTACTATTTTCAGTTGTCTGCCCTCGTGTGAGAAATGTCTTGTCACCACCAGCTTGTCTCGATCCCTTTCTTGAACAGGGGGGGCATCAATGGAACGGGTAATGTTGCAGATGTGGCATCTCTGGGTACAAAGGATGATTGCTCCAGCTCTTCAGGAAAGACTTCAGCACCAACAAAGCGGACTTTCAAGACACTCCTAAAGAAGAGTGAAATGACGACCCAGGATTTGTTAGAGCTATGAAGTGGCAGCAGGCGTTCCTCCAATAACCAAGGCTTGGCTTATACACTCAAAGCTTCAGAAAAAAACTGTGCAAATGCATTGGACCTTCTACAACTCAGAAATCAAAGTGGCTGGTCTCTCCTGAAGTCGGTTTCCGGTCTCCTCTCAAGATAACTGCTACTTCTAATATGATCAACACTGAACCAGGCAAAGAACAAAAAAATCAAACATTCACAAGGTCTGCATTAGTGGTCCAAGCGCTGGGTATGTGGTACAGAGTCAAGGGCAGCGTGAGTGATCCCTCTTCCAGCCAGGTAACAAGTTACCACCCCTGCTCCCAAGACAGCATCCAAGACTTTCGAGCACCAGATTCAGGTTCTTTTCTTGCCTGTTAAAAAGCATCTCACTGTGTTCGTAGCTGATAATCTAGGACAGAAAATAACATTTCTGTGAGTTCACTTTTCTTGAAGCCACTGTCCCTCATGCACAGAGTAGGGGAGGCCCAAAATGGAGCTCCCCTGCATTTCTCACTGACAGCTGTGCTGTTAAGAGACAATGTCCCCCTAAGCTGAGTCAGTGTGAGCTAGCTCACAGTTTTTTAGCCTCCGGCTCACACATTTTTGTCTCAGCTCAGGAAGGAGGGCTCCAGAGCAAACTAGTTTATGCAGCAGCCGAATCGCTCGCTCACAACTTTAATGCAAGTAGCTTACAAAGCAGAATTGTTGCTCACAAGACTCCAGAGCTTAGAGGGAGCATTGGTACCATTTTTCATAGCCCTTCCTTTCCAGGCCTGAGAAGGAAGTAGCACACACTGGCAGCAGGAACTGTGCTGTCATTTGCTCCCAAGTTGTATCTATGTGGAAACAAATCACCCACGACACCTAGCGGGGAAGATTCCCTCCATTACTCCTGGGAGCTTTTCTAAACCCCTATGAGAACAAAGCAGGGAAACTGTTCTTACACATACCTCCGTTCTGGGTGATATAACGCACCCACGGCAATGCCTGATAGCCGCTCTTCTCAATAATTTTCAAATAGCGAACCTGGAAAAAAAGAACACGGGCAGTGTTGGTTTCGATCATCCTGGGTAGTTTGAAACGGAAAAGGAAGATGCCGTTTTGGGGGAGATAGGAGCGGAAGGCTGCCTTCAACTGAGGGGACCGCAGACTTCCTAAAAAGGGCTCTTTTTGTAGCAGGAACTCCTTTGCATATTAGGCCACACCCCCTAATGTAGCACGCTAATGGGTGGCTTCCCCTCTTTGTCCTCGGCTTCAACACTTGGGAGCCCAAAGTGGGCCCTCATCAGGTACTCCTTCCCTCCCTGCAAGTGGAGGACAGAAAACCAGAACTCCTCACACACCGGAGAGAACCTCCACCAGAGGCTGCCATGCTGCTGAGGACCTCACATTCTCCTCCCCCCCACACACACACTCACCAGTTGCTGCCTTACCAAACAGTCGCAAGCAATATAGAACCAAAAGGCAAATTGACCTGGATCCTGGTTAGCAAGGGCTCCAGAAGTGTTATGCAAGACAGGCAGACCCAGGCAGATTAATCTCCTCCGATACCCATGAATGAAAAGTAATTCAGGGGAACAAATGCAGAGTCCTCACACACCGGAGAGAACCTCCACCAGAGGCCGCCATGCTGCTGAGGACCTCACGTTCTCCTCCCCCACACACACACACACACCAGATGCTGCCTTACCAAACAGTCGCAAGCACTATAGAACCAAAAGGCAAATTTGACCTGGATCCTGGTTAGCATGGGCTCCAGAAGTGTTATGCAAGACAGGCAGACCCAGGCAGATGAATCTCCTCCGGTACCCATGAATGAAAAGTAATTCAGGGGGACAAATGCAGAGTGTCCAGTGGCACTTTTAAGACCAACGAAGGTGCCACTGGACTCTACTGTAGGAGAGCAGTGCAGACATCTGCGTGGCAAACCCGAATGAATTCACTGTTCTCCTGCCTGTTCTCCTGGCTGGAAATTGGGAACCCAGGTATCAGGCTAATTGCCCAAGGCAGAAACATTTGCTGATGTGCTGAGTTCATAGTGAGAAGCTACCTTGGCAAAGGGACAACAGGAGATAAGGAGCTGTGAGCTTTCGGGATCAACACATTCCACAATATGATCGTATGCCTGTCATTTTCCCTTACGCAGGGAGAAAAAGGGAGGGGGAAAGGAGGAGACGGATTTTCAATAAATATTGCTGGTGAGTGAGAGGATTCATTCAGTCAGCTTTCTGCAGAAGCTGTTTGTGTCCTGTCTTCTTTGAACCCCGGCAAACTACACTCTACCTTTCTCCTATTGCTTCAGACCAACCCAGCTGGCCACCAGAAGTAATTCAGGGGTTAGGCTGGCAAACAGACAAGCTGCCTAGACAAAGGGGGATCCAGTCTCCTCAAGACTCACAAAGCTCCTTTCTCTGGAAAGTTTGGCATTTCCAAGACAGAGATGCAGTGAAATGCAGCAGGTCTCCCCAACACATGCAACCACCCCACTTTTGACCGAGCTCCCAGCTCTCCACAGCTAAGGATCCCTACGGATTCTCAACTGCAGCCGCCCGTCCTGGTGAGAATCCGCTTCCGTCAGCTTACCGGGAAAGACTTGACAGACCACACAATTGCGCTGCTCTCAGGCACCCACTTCACGCTCCCAACGGTGGTCTTGAATTTTGGCGAGTCAGCATCATTTGGAACAGGAATGTGAATCTCCACGTTGTTGGCTGTGGATCGGCGCTTAAACTGACTCTTGGCCTGAAAAGATCAAAGCCCAGGGGGCACTTTAGGTCAGCCTCCTGGTCTCCCATAACATTAGAACTCAGAGGCATCCAATGAAGTTGATGGGCAACAGATTCGGGATGGACAAAAGGAAGTATTTCTTAACTCAGGGTGATTAAAATGTGGAACTCCAGAAGATGTAGTGATGGCAACAGGCATAGATGCCTTTAAAATGAAAGATTCAGAGAGGAGAAGTCTATCTCTGATCCGTGGCTAGTAAAGGGAACTTCCTTACGCAGAGGCAGCAGCACTCTGAAACCCAGAGATAGGCAGCAACTTTAGGGGAAGGTCTTGTCCTCTGTGCCCTGTTTGCTGGCCCTCTAGGGCACCTGGCTGGCCACTGTGTAAAACAGGGTCTGATCCTGCCAGGGTTATTTGTATGAAAAATAAAAATGATTTAAAGCCTTATGTGGGAATGAAAACTTGCTGATTATTAAGGTGCCATCAGACTGCTGGTTTTTATTGTTCACACAGCATTTTATTTATTTTGCTTTTATTGAACTCACACTTGTAGTATGAATGGGAATATAAAGATTTTTATATATAGGTTTTTTCCTTCTTGATTGTTCATATTCATATTTTTTCTTGGTTTTATGGTTTTCTCTTTTAAGTAATATTTTATTAGAATGTAAGAAAGGCCTGTTATATAGAAGGCTTTCCCCTTGTAGGTCTGATATTGCTAGCAGACAAGATAATAGGTACAAAGTTCATGATTCTGTAGTTCTTAAGGGCAAAACCCTGCAATGTCTGGGTCAGAGAAGATTTTAGTCTCATATCAGTAAAAAATACTTTTGTTTGGGGTATAACAATTCCTTGCCCATTATCATTTTAGATTAGGTTAAGTAAACACTTAGATTTATGTAGATACATCTCTCTTTACATCTGGCAAATCATAAGCTTATTATTCAAATGACCATTGTCTTTTATAACCAATTATGCCTTTTGAATATTGTTTTCTTGATTATGTCAGTTCATACATAAAAGATCATGTACTTCCTGAATATGCTCAGAAAGCAGTCAACTTTTGATGGGCTATTTGGTCCAACTGTTCTCCCGTGTCTAATTGCAATTAAACATAGATCTTCCTCCTCATTTGACTTCATTTTTTATTTGGAATCTAATACGTATAACACACTGTAACCCCCTCTGAAATTTGTTCACATCTTTAAAGTGCTTTGCTGTTTCTATCTCAATGAATCGCAGGAGGGCTTTACACTGGGGCTATGGAGGTTTCAAGAAACAATCTTTGAAGGAAACTGGCTTTAAGCAGTACGGGATGGAAAAGTCAAAAGGGGGCTAGAGAGAGAGGGGAACCACCAACCTTGATCATGTACTCTATGCGGCTGTGGGAGTGCTTCTCTATGACTGACTCAATCCAGATCAGCGGCTTTACCTGTTTGTAAAGAGGTACAGCAGACATGACGTATCACTGGCTTCCAGGCTGTTCTAGGAAACAGTTCCACAAGCAGAACTTCATAAGCACCAGGACAACCAGTTCTGAGGCTGTGGAGACAACTGCCAGCATGCTCAACCAGAGGACTGCAAGATACACAATGTCCTCCAAGAGATACTTGGCTAGTGAAAGGATTCTCTAACTAGTGATGCATGAAGATAGATCAAGATGGGTGGCCATGTCAGTGTAGCAGCAGAAAAGAGCAAGATTCCAGTAGCACTTTAAAGACTAACAACATTTGTGGTAGGTTAGGAGCTTTCGTGAGTCTTCAGGTGCTGCTCGCTGCTCACTTCTTCGTGAAAGCAAGGACACTAGAAGCCCTCCCACTGTTGCCCCCCCACCCAGCACCAAGAATACAGAGCATCACTTGCCCCAGACCAAGAGTTCCTATCGATACCTTGTGGCTAATAGCCACTGATGGGCCTCTGCTCCATAAGTTTATCCAATCCCCTCTTGAAGCCATCCGTGCTTGTAGCCACCACCACCTCCTGTGGCAGTGAATTCCGTGTGTTAACCATGTGTTAAGGTGCTACCAGACTCTTACTCTTTTCTACTGATGCATGAGCCCCTCATTTCAGATCCCAAGTGGATTTCCTGCAAAGGCTTAGGAAAAATAAGCTCTCTTTTTCCCCCTCAAAACTTCTAAACCCTCACACTTTCTTCCCTGCATACCTAAAAAAGATGTTTAAAAAGCCTTTCAATGAACCACTCTTAAAACTCCTGTGCAGTACTATATAACTAAAACACAAAAACAAGACGCTTCCTTTGGTAGAAAACAACATATGAACAAAGCCTCCTCACTTTTCACAAAATGTTCCACTATTATAAGAGTGCTCCTGCCCATGTAATTTCTTGAACCATTTGTAATATACTCAATTTAAATCATGAGCAGAAGATCACCAGCCACAAGGAAGCTTGTGTAGAACTACGATTGTGAACTGCAGAAATTTTCTGTCACACAACAATTCTTTTTGAACAAATTCTGGTACACTTTGCTTTTACCGTTTCTGTTTCTAGCTATAGTGCAATAGTAATGACTTTATTGCTTTGCTACTTAGAGTGCATTCTGATTTTACTCAAGTCCGGCCAACATTCAACTGCACTCACGTGAGTATTCAGGCGGTATGACATTAGCTCAAACTCCCCATCAGGTGGGATAAAAGAAATGGTCCGGTCATTTTCGAAGCGAGACAGACGCACACACTGGTGGAACTTCACATCCTCCAGTTCCACTGATTTGCTTTTTCCACCTGTGAGGAAAGGGATCAACAGACACAAATAAAGTAGAACTCCTTAAGACAGCCCTCTACCTAAAAGTTGGTGCTTGCAAGAATAGCCCCAACTACGTCTCTACAGATCAGACTAAATATTCAAACACACATTTTATGTGTATGCTCCATCCCTTTTCACGCTTCGAAGATCAGAGCCAGGGCACACCAAGGCCAGAGATGTCTTCTGCTGAACTGCCCTAGGATCTTTGGTTCACAAATCTGGCCATGCACCAGAAGCAAGTGCTGCAAAGGCTGCTTCTTAGAAGGAAGGCACTGTTATTTCTGTGGTAGCCATACATGCTCAGGCAAGGGACAGAGACACATGAATCTGGGATTCACATACACATTCCTCAGGAAGTATGAGCGACACATACTCTCTCTTTTCACTGAAGGAACACAAACAAGGAGCTTTATGGGTCAGAGGCTAACAGGCAGGCAGGATTAGGATGGCAAAGGTTGCTTTCATGGGCACAGGGGTTACTGAGCCCGAGGCCCCTTACAGCTATGCTCTTCTACGACTACACTCCTGTGTTGGTCTCACAAGGCCCATGTCCCTGAAAGAACGGCTAGACATCTGTCAGGCCAAGGAGGTGGGAGATGGAGGCCCTCCTTTCATCAAGATATTTAGTGCCATCTAGCCAAAATTTTTAGAAGAACTATTCAAATACGTGGTGACAGCAGCTAGAACTATTTATGCAGCAAAATGGAAACTAGACGTCTATCCATGGTTAGAAGAAAGGGAAAATAAACTTGCTGAATATAAAGTAATGTTAAAATTAACAACCCATTTGATAAATAGATCTATTATGAAATCTGAGGAAAGATGGAGCGTGTAGGAGACAAACATAAAGTGAGAAAATATCATATACAAATGTATGATAATGAAATAGAGGTAGAATTAAAATTTGTTCCAAATGTAGTATCCTGAATATGAATGGGTTTTCTATATGAGATATATAACAGACTTTCTTTTACACCGTGATATACTACTTATCTATGAAAGGATCTAATGAATATGTAGAGGTGGCGAAAATATGTTATGTTGAATGCATAATAATGATGAAATCAGTGTAGTCAAAATAGATTTGTCATGACGTTTGAAACTTAAAATGTAAATGATGAATACAATTGTACCCCAACAGAAATAAGAATTATAGTACTTTATACATAATACCTTAAAATTATAATGAAGGGGATGAATGGAAAATTATTCTGTCTTATACATCATGTACTACATGATTGTCTTTGACAGATGTAATTATCTTGTATAACCCATTTTTTTCTTTCCCCCCTTTTCCTTACCCTGTTTTTTTTCTAAAATAAATAAATAAATATTTAAAAAATGATATTTCGTGCCACCAGCAAGCAGTGTTTGTTCCTCCCACCCTCACGCCCAACGAGACCAGGGGCTGTCCCGCCTGATGCAATCTTCTGTCTGGCAGACAAACACCTGAGAAATTGCTACAGACATACTCACGGCCCGTGTTGTCAAAGAGCACTTTATCATTTAGGCCAAGACGGAGTTCCGGCATCCCAGAAAGGAAAACCCTCATTTTGATGGATCCGACGATCTCACTACGCAGAACGTTTCCATTGGCACTAACCTGCAGAGGGGGGAGGGAGTTGTAGTCGCAGCCTGAGACTGTTGCAAGAGGCATAGAATTATTTCAGATACTGAGTTACATTATCTGTGTTGCTCACTTTGTACCAGACCCAAGTAAACACACACGAGCCACAATGATAGGAATCTTATAGAAGTGGTTTTGAAGTGCTGGATACATGATGAACGACTGGGTGTGAGCATTCAGTCTTATAGTTCTCTGCCTCATTTAGTGCTCATTTTACAGCACTTTAAAATGCTACAGGTGGAGTCAAGCCACAAAAGCCTCTCCTAAGTGGGAGGTTCCAAGTAACTGTCATTGTAAACAATTTTTGTATCTGCGAACATTTACAATTATAAACGTATCATCGATATGAGCAAGATGCCACTTTGGAAGATCACCTTTCCTTCTACAAGTGTCTTGAGCATTACTGGATCCAGTAAATATTTTCCCTCCTCAAGGTGCTCCCCCTGGCCTGGCTTTTTCAGTTCCAGCCTTCCCCTCCTGGACCTATAACTGCCACTAAATCTTTCAGCTGCCTTCTGTGGCAGTTTAATAAGCAAAACATTTTGCAATTTTTACTCTAAGATGCACCAACACAATGTTTTGCTAAAGCAGCCACTGGACTTTCCCATGGCAAGAGGCTATTTCAGTTTACTCCTTGTTCCCTTGACTTACACCATGACTACTTGAGAAGAATACCCACATCACTTTTAAGCAGGCAGAGCAAGTCAAGGACAAAACCGCATAGTCAGACTCTGAGGATCAGGCTGGGTCTGCTCGCCTGAAGTGAGCTACTCCTAAGGACACGCAGGCTCTTTTTAAAGGAGGGGAGGGGCCTCAAAGGACACAGCCCACGGCCTCGGACCAAGTGATGAGCCCCCTTTGCTCACCAGGGCTCCTATTCGGCCACATTCTCCTGGATTTAGGCTACACCTGCCAAACCGCACCAGCACTTGTATTCTGGCCACACAAAAGGACCTCGGCCACCAGGGCTGAGAAAGGCCTCTCGGCTCCATACAAAACAGCTTCATAAGTTGTCACATGCACTCCTGAATGCTTGTAAATAAAGCAAGTCACTACACACAAAGTCTGCACCCACCAAGAGGTTCACAGATTCTATAACATCCAGGAACACCTCATTCTTCCGGTACTTTATCCCTTCAGATCGCCAAGACACGGCATTTGTAACAGTGGCAGGGGGGCGTGGAGCTCCAGTGTCCAACTTGTGACCTTCTTGAGTTATGTACCTTCACAAAACAAGCACAAGAGGCTCAAAATGTTAATACCCAGTTATTTCAGCCCTAAATTGAAATTGAAAAACTGAAATTATGGTATGGCATTGTGTGTGGAATAGCCAGAGATCCTCGGAAGAACTGTTTGGCTGCCAAGGATGTAGCTCTTTTTTGGCACCACTAGGTGGCGAGCTATGCTTATTTTTAGGCTGAGAGTGCTGTACCTTGCCTAAGGTCACCCAGCTCGCTCCATGGGGAATCGAATCAAGTTTTCCAGATTAAAGTTGACCGCTCTTAACCACTGCACCAAGCTTACTTACTGACAGACTGGACAGGGGGAAAAAGAGTCAATAGCTAAATCCAATCAAACCACACTCACATTTCTGGAGCAGGGAATCCTGTTACCTTCGTCACATATTTATGATTTTACCTAAGTGCAAGTGTTCTCAAGTACGGTTAACTGGTGGTCAGGCTTTGTGCCTAAAGTTCAAGACTACCTCTTCAATAGCTGAAGAAATTGTTGATTTATTATTCTTTAACGACAAACAGTTATAATCTTAAAACATTGCTTTGAGAACTTTAATGAGGGTTATCAAGCTGCCCCTGTTTACCTGTTATTTTTCATTTCAATTAATTAGCTTTAGGTTCCAATCATTTTATTTAGAGCACACGGGGCCAGACTGGATGATTTCTGGACCAGAGGTGTCAAACTCATTTGTCACAAGGGCTGGATCTGACATAAATGTCACTTTGTTGGGCTGGGCCATGTGTGCCATAAAATGTTAATATGAGGTACTGGAGATATAAAGTATATATAAAGATGGTTTCAGATGTCAAATGGCAATAGCAGGTGTGATTGGATTAGGTGTGATATGCAAAGGGATAGTAGGCATGGAGATATCAACACTGGTAATGAGATAGGAAACCTAGGTCCCAATTTGGTCCAAGTGCCATGGGACTCCCATTTCTCTCTCTCTGGCTCTTTCCGTCCCTCCCTTCCCCTCCCTCTCTGAAAAAGTGTGTTTGCACACAAAAGCATATATCTGGATTAAAACACTGTTGGTCTCAAACAGGACTCCCTCTCTCTCTATGGAGTGCTCTCACTGTCTCTTTCTTTCCCTTTATTTCTCTCTCTGGCATGCTCTCATAGGCTCTTTCCCCCTCTCCCTCTCTCTCTCTCTTTGAAGAAGTCTGCACAACACAAAAGCTTATACCTGGAATAAAACATTGTCTTCTTAAAATAGCCAAGGGACTCCGTTTCTCTCTCTCTCTCCTTCCCCCCCCCCCAGAGGTGGGAGAGGAGCCCTCAGCCAATCAAGGGAAGGGAGGATTGGCTTTCTTCCTCTCCTCTGTAAAGTAGGAAATAGAAGAGCCTGGGCAAAAGGAGCTGTGATGCAGGAAGCAGGAACAGGAAGCAGCAGAGTGCTACTTGCTCATGGGCTGCATAGGAGCCCTGCAGGGGCCAGATCGGCCCATGAGCCATATGTTTGACACCCCAGCTCTAGACCCCCTCCAAATTTTTAATTCTATGAATCTATATAGATACTCGGAGACAAGAACAGGGCTGCATGGGGGCCTGTATGCTAAAGCCCAGTCCAAGTAAGACTGAAGCGCAGTTAGTTGCTGAGACAGCTAACCAAAGGCTGAGGATTTGGCCTAGATGCAGTGGCACTCCTCAGATGATATATATTAGGTCTAGCTTCAACAGCATGATGCACATTTAACCAAGTGTCAGCCACAGCTGATCCTGAAAAGGCATGAAGTGCCAAATTATCTCCAGTCACATTCACAGCAGATGAGGAAAATCAGTGGGATACGGTGATTCCTGGTTATAAATTATATCGGAAGGTTGGGGGGAAGGGTTGGAGGTGGGGTGGCTCTGCATGTCAGAGAGGGTATACAGTCCAGTAAGATTAAGAAGGTAAGAGAATTAGATTCGCTTCTGGAAATGCTATGGGTTGAAATAGTGGGGCCAAAAGGAGGCTTAACACTGGGAGTTTGTTATTGCCCACCAGATCAAAAGATAGAGGATTATAAAATGATGAATAAAAGATAGCAGCTATACGAAATAACTGTGTTGTAATACGTGATTTTAACTACCCACACATTGATTGGGTCAATATGTGTTCAAGTAGGGAAAAAGAGATTGAGTTTCTAGACACTCTCAATGACTGTGCTATGGAGTAGATGGTCACAGAACCTACCAGGGGAGAGGTGATCCTGGATTTGGTCCTAAGTAACACCCAAGACCTGGTGAGAGATGTAAAAGTGATTGCACCGCTTGGAAACAGTGACCATAATGTTACTGAGTTCAACTTTTGTATAAATAGGAAGTTGCCCCAAAAGACCAACACTTTTAACTTTAAAAGGGGTAACTTCTCTGAGATGAGGGGACGTGAAGAGGAAACTGAAGAAAAAGTAAAAAGGGTCAAAACCATTGGGGAAGCTCGGAGACTATTTAAAGGTACAATCCTAGAAGCTCAGATAAAATATATCCCGCAGGTTAGGAAAGGCACAAATAAGTATAGAAAAAGGCCTGCAAGGTTAACAAAGTAATGGAAGCTGTAAAAGGTAAGAAGGATTCCTTTAAGCAGTGGAAAGCTAGTCTCAGTGAGGTTGATAAAAGGGAACACAGGCTGTGGCAAATAAAATGCAAGTCTGTGATCAGGCAGGCAAAAAGGGAAGATGAAGAGCATATAGCAAAAAACATAAAGACCAACAATAAAACGTTCTTCAAATAAATTAGAAGCAGGAAACCAGGCAGGGAGGCAGTGGGGCCCTTGGATGACCAAGGAGTAAAAGGATTACTGAAGGACAATAGGGAAATGGCTGAGAAGCTGAATGCATTTTTTGCTGCTGTCTTCACTGTGGAAGATGAGAAGTGCTTGCCCACTCCAGAACCACTGATTTCAGGAGGGGTGTCGAAAGACCTGAGTCAGACTGAGCTGATGAGAGAAGAGATCCTATGACTGATGAACAATTTAAAAACTGACAAATCACCAGGCCCGGATAGCATAAATCCAAGAGTTCTAAAAGAATTCAAATGTGAACTTGTGGATCTCCTGACAAAAATATGTAATCTTTCATTAAAATCTGCCTCCATTCCTGAGGACTGGAAGGTAGCTAATTTCACCCCCATCTTGATAAAGGGTTCCAGAGGAGATCCAGGAAATTACAGGCCAGTCAGTCTGACGTCAAAACCAGGTACCTTGGTGGAAACCGTTATTAAGGAGAGAATTAATTAGGCACATTGGTGAACAAAAAGTATTGATGCAGACTCAGCATGGATTCTGTAAGGGAAGATCTTGTCTCACTAACCTGTTAAGTGATCTTTGAAGGGGTGAACAAGCATGTGGACTAGGGGGACCCAACAGATGTTGATTAGATTGACTTCTAGAAAGCGTTTGATAAAGTTCTTCATCAAAGGCTCCTAAGTAAGCTCAACAGTCATGGGATGAAAGGACAAGTCGTCTTGTGGATCAAAAACTGGCTAATAGGAAACAGAGAGTGAGTATAAATGGGCAATTTTCACAGTGGAGGGTGGTAAGCAGTGGGGTGCTGCAGGGATCAGTACTGGGTCCGATGCTTTTTAACTTGTTCATTAAGGATTTGGAGTTGGGAGTAAGCAGTGAAGTGGCTCAATTGTTCAGGGTGGTGAGAACCAGGGAGGATTGTGAGGCATTCCAAAGGGATCTGTTGAGGATGGGTGAGTGGGTGTCAATGTGGCAAATAGGGTTCAATATGGCCAAGTGCAAAGTGATGCACATAGGAGCCAAAAATCCTAAGTATTAATACACGCTGATGGAGTCCGAGCTGGTGGACACTGACCAAGAGAGAGATCTTGGAGTCACAGTAGATAACTCACTGAAAATGTCGAGAAGTGTGTGACTGCAATAAAGAAGGCCAATGCTATGCTGGGGATTATTAGGAAGGGAATTGAAAACAAATCAGTCAGTATCATAATGCCCCTGCATAAATCGATGCTGCAACCTCATTTGGAATACTGTGTGCAGTTCTGGTCACCACACCTGAAAAAGAATATTATAGCATTGGAAAAGGTGCAAAAAAGGGCAACTAGAATGATAAAAGGGTTGGAACACTTTCCCTATGAAGAAAAGTTAAAGCGCTTGGGGCTCTTTACCTTAGAGAAATGATGACTGAGGGGTAACATGATAGAGGTTTACAAGATTATGCATAGGATAGAGCAGGTAGAGAAAGAAGTACTTTTCTCCCTTTCTCACAATACAAGAACTCATGGGCACTCAATGAAATTGCTGAGCCAGTTGGGTTAAAATGGATAAAAGGAAGTACTTCTTCACCCAAAGAGTGATTAACACATGGAATTCACTGCCACAGGAGGTGGTGGCAGCTACAAGCATGGACGGCTTCAGGGGGGGGGTTCAACAGTGGGAGGACTTCTAATGTCCTGGCCCCACTGATGGACCTCCTGAAGGCACGTGGTATTTTTGGCCACTGTGGGACAGAGTGTTGGACTGGATGGGCCATTGGCCTGATCCAACACTGGCTTCTCTTATGTTCTTATAACACACCTTGGGTGAGCTGCCTCTGAAGACTGTTTCAAAACTACAGTGGATTCAAATACAGCAGCAAAAATGAATACATCTTGCCACTACTGAAAGAGCGTCACTGGCTACCAATGAGTTTCCAGGCACAATTCAAGTTACTGGATATTACCTTTACTAGTCTGGAATCTGTTCTGTTCTTACTGTGGCAATGAGGCAGTGACATTCTCACCCATGGTACTTGACACAGGCCACTCCCTCCCTGAAACCATTCACCTAGCACCTACATTTTTAAAGCTTTCTTTCTTTTTCCAAGCCAATTGACAACACTTTGTTTGTTGTCTTACGCAGTCTGACCACAATTTTTTATACCTTGTGACCTGCCTTGAGTCTCACCAAGAAAGGGAGTCTATAAAGAAAATAAATACTTACTCTTGTAAAATTTTACTATCTGTTGTTTGAGGGTATCCAAAATCCATAAGTTCATCTAAGAGCTCATAAATGATAACAAAATTGTCACGAATGCTCTCTTCTTCCAGTTCTTTGAAGTATTCAGAAAATACCTGAAACATCCAAACCAGATGAATAAGGGCCTCAATTTTTAAAGTAACACAGCTATCAACAACTGACAGAAACTCTCCTAAAACTTTCCCCTACTGGGAAAACTATCAGCACAACATTCTATACAAGATCACATAGAGTGCCCTGAGATTTTCCCACCCCACTGTTCAGACTTCTCTGGCTTCTGACTCTTCAGTCAGGCCTGGAGTTGTAAAGGCTTGGAGATGGGCTGTTCCCCGCCCCCCCCCTCCCCGGACCTTTTTTCAATGTTTCCAACAAAGAAATTGGAAACTTTGATGGAGCACTGGGGGAAGAAAACCAATGAAGGATTTTCTGTCTTTGAATGAGTGACGTCTTCCGTGCAAACACACATTCCCTCCCTCCCGTCCCACTGTGAGCTCTCACAGGGCCATTCTGCAGTGCGTGTGGTTGCTCATGGCAGTTTGTCCAGAACTGAAGAAGGGGGCGCCCACCTCTGGAGCATGTGACGGTTTGGATGGGAAAAGACCGTGGTGTTGGCTCCAGAGGAGGAGGGGAACCCCCTCAGATAGCTTTTAGCTGGGAGAAATCCTGTCCGCGGCCAGCCTGCACAGGTGCAGTTCCAATATGTGTCTGCACAGAAGATGCCAATGAACAACGGTTACAGGTAAGTGCAACTCTGTTTTCATCCTCTGTCTTCGGTGCAACACCACACTGGGACGCTAGCAAGCTACTCACTGAAGGAGGTGGGGGGTGAAGCTCTCACTGGAAAAGTGACTGGAGAACTGCCTGGCCCACATCAGCATCCTTCCTTGCTTGTGCTTTCTGGACAGTGGTTCCAAAGTGGAAAGGGCTGGAATCAATGAAGTCGGCGATAGAGACCCAAGGGTGTCTCAACTCCCAAGGCCGGGGCATCCAAAGCAGCTCTCTTGGGTGGATTCTTAGCTGTTGGAACTGCTAGAATCAGTTGACTGGATGATGGACTAGAATGGGACTCCAGTGCTGGAACCAATGGGGTTGACCGGCTCGAGGGCAGTTTTGGATGTTCCAGGCCAGGAACCAACCTGGACAGGCCCGAGGCAGACAAAGCATTTTGTGCGTCCACATCACGGTGAGTCATTTTGGTTCCACATTTAGTGCCTTTCTGGAAAAGCACCTTGGAATCCATGACAGGCACCACAAGTGACAGAGGGGAAATGGGAAGGACCAAGGGGCAAATTGACAAGAGTCTCCTCACTCTGCCAATAATACCTCACCAGGACAAAAAAAATCTTGAAGATGGGAAAAGACACCCAGCACAGGTAGAAGAATGATCAATAGAACACAGCTCACTGGAAAGCTCGTATCCATGCAGCAGCAAACAAGAACCTGAGGGAGAAGGGGGTGCCTGCCCTCCAGAGCATGTGACAGTTTGGGTGGGAAAAGACCATCACGTTGGCTCTGGACGGGGAGAGGCACCCCCTCAGATAGCTTTTAGCTGGAAAAAATCCTGTCCGTGGCCAGCCTGCATAAGCGCAGTCCCAATGTGGGCTGTACCAAATATGGAAGACGAATAATTCTTACAAGTTTTCCAGTTTGGTGTAGTGGTTAAGCACGTGGACTCTAATCTGGGAGAACCGGGTTTCATTCCCTATTCTTCCACTTGCAGCTGCTGGATGACCTTGGGCTCCTGGATGGCCTTAGGCAAGCCATAGTTCTGTCAGAGCTGTCCTTGAAAGAGCAGTTCCTGAAAGAGCTCTCTCAGCCTTACCTACCTCACTGGGTGTCTGTTTTGGGGGAGGGGAAGGGAAAGAAGTTTGTAAACTGCTGTGAGACTCCAAGTGAAGGGCAGGGTATAAATCCAATTTCCTCCTCCTCCTTAAAATGTATAGCAGAACCTCCCCCCCCAGTTTTTCCAATGGAAAATCTGGGCAAACTGGAAAAAAAACTCATGATTTTTTCCCCTTTTGGAATGAATGAATGAAAGGCTTTTCAAGACAAGATTTTACTCAAAATAGAGATAACACTATATACTGTAGACATATATAACACATTTTCAATCATTTATAATGTAAGTAATTTTGGCAATAATTAATATGCTATAATGTGTTTTAAAATAACACGCTATTAAAGACTTCAGTGTTGTTATAAAGTTTAACCATATTCACATATGCTAGTGCTCCTACCTATAGCAACCATATGACCATTTCTGTCCAAATGATAGTTTCTATTTTTCCTGCCAAATTCAACTTTTTTTCCACTGACACAAATGATACACATGCTAAGGTAGTACAGGGTGCAGCAATTTACGACTGTCTCAAGTACTGGGTTTATTTGCCGTTTTTCTTACCACAACATTTATACTTTTAAATTCCATAAAGATCTCAAATAGAACTAGTTAATATCCTAAGCTATAAATGATGCATTTTAAATTCGTAAATTTGTAAATTAATTTAGATTTTATATGAAACTAAGTACTGCATATGTTCCAATTTTCTCAAAACTTCTTGGGGCACAGCTTCAACATTTCCAAAACTTTTACGTTAGGCCCACAGTACAACTGCACACACAGAAAGCTTTACAAAAAAACTCAGACCCTCAAAATCTTTCAGAGTTGGAGCAAACACCTGAATGAACATCATGCTCACCTGAACAACCTTGTAGAGAAAGGAGAACACTAAAGAGACGCAAGCATTCTTCTTGGATGTTGCAACAACTAGAAAAGTATGTTTAGGAGCTTGAATTCAAACCTGGGTCCTAACTCATTTCCTACAGTCTACTTCCAGTTTTACCTTCTGTTTAAATATTGGAGCAGCAGCATAAAAGTGAGGCTGGACGGCTCATCCACCATTCACTTTCTGCTGACACAGGGATTACATCAGAACAGCTGAACAATAGCACCAATCTGTGCAAGAACCCCCAAATGTCTAGCAAATGCTTTTAAGTCTTTAAGTCTTTGACAAAGCCCTATGACAGTAGGAAGATAGGTAGGGGGAAAGTGGTATGTGGAGGACCAATAAGCCCCAACTGTAGACTGGTCCACTGCCAGAGCAGTCAAGTGGGGCTGCCCTTCTCTTGACTGTACTACTTGTCACTTTCAGTTGCAACTGGAGCACTTTAGCAGAGGTTCTGGGTTGGCTGCCCAACAAAAATCTGTGGCTAAAAAGTTCCCTCAAAAATTGCTTGCTTTAAGAGGTCAGCAGGCAGACTTCCACTATTCAATGTGGGTAACTGAGCACTGGCCTATGACGGAAGAAACCCGCACACAAATCCCTACTCTGGGTGACCTCAGGCCAGTTGTCTTCTTTCAATCCAGTTTACTTCACAGGGTTGTTACAAAGATGAATTGGGGGGGGGGGGATGCCATCCTGGACTTCTTAGAAGATAACTGAGACTAACAGTACAAACAATAAAATAAAATTTGTTCCAGCCAAATATGTTCCCATCAGAATTGTGAAACTACATCCTTTTCCACTTGCACTTATGCCAGGATATTCCATATTTTATTTTGGCAAAGGATACGGTACAAGTTGTTATGCTTGATCCACATAAAGCGTACACCTCCATGTGCCAGAATTGGAGAAAGTGCCCCTTCCTCTTCCTTCTCCATAAGAATTGGCATGAAATGTTCCACTTCAGACATATCCACATCTCCACGATAATTTCTACAGATGAGCACCTAAAATTGAAGTGGGGGAGAGGAGGGTAAAACCCTAAATATCTTGAAACAAAAAGTTCAGACTGACAGCTCTGCTTGAGGACTCCTACCACAAAGTAAACAGTGTTCTGCGCTATTTACTTTGTGCTATTGGTGGTGGTTTTTACCCACTTGCCCAATATTTGGTTCATCTTTGGGAGCACTTGTTAACTTGTGCCTGATTGCCATCTCGGAATTGTATTATCTGATGTCGCATGGTTTTAATATTCGGAGCTATGTTTTAACTGTTTCAAATTGTCCTATAGTTATCTGTTGTAACCCACCTTGAGCCCTGTGGTGCAGGGAAGAACGAGCTAAAAATTTATATAAATAAATAAGAAACCACACAATACCAAGAATCTGTCCTCTGCATAGGCCTGGCGAGGACAGGCATGGTTGGCCAAGGGAAAAACTGTGGCTAAAGAGGGACCTCAACCCCTGCATGCTCGACAAGGCCAGCAGAAGCCTCCCGCAAGAACAGAATGCTCTGGAGCGGGACTGGAGCTCGCTCGCAGGGAGGCCGGCCCTTATCGCCAGACTCTGCGGGGAGCAAGCAGGGACGCGAGGATGCTGCTCTCGGCAGGCAGAGGCACATCATGCCGGCCCTCCCGCCGCTCACTGCCAGCGGGCCTCGCCTAGCGGGCCCCAACAGCGATGATCGTCCTGCTGCTGAAAGACCCACGACCGAGGACCCACAGCAGCCTCGCACGCAACCGTGTTGGCCTGAACGGACACGGGGCTCTACTGGGCCAGAGCCAGGCCGGCAAACGGAGGGAGGGAGGGGTGCCTACCTGCTTGCCTGCGATTGAGAGCCTCGCTGCCCCCCACCCCTGCAACAGCCGAAAGAAAACCGCACCCGTTACCCTGACGACCACAGTCGCGGGGGTGGGGGCTAAACACGTGACGCGTTCCGTAAGAGCCCCCCCCCCCCCCCCCCCCCCCCCAC